TATTTATTTTTAGAGAAAGGAGAAGGGGGAGAGAAAGAGAGGGAGAGAAACATCAACCCAGGCATGTGCCCTGACTGGGAATCAAACCAGCAACCCTTCAGTTTGCAGGCCAGCATTCAATCCATTGAACCACACCAGCCAGGCAATTTAATCTTTATTGTATTTTTTCCATTACCATTTAGTCCCCTTCTACCCCCCTTTTCCCAGCAATCACCACACTGTTTGTCCATGTCCATGAGTCCCTTTTCCTTTTTGCTCAATCCCTGTACCCCCTCACCTCCACCCCCACTAGCTGTCTAGAATATTTGATTTTACAGTGAAGATAATTTATAGAATCAACCATATTATATCATATAGCTTATTATATAACAAAAATGAATGCACCACTGTCGTTTCTTTCTCAGTAGTTTCCTAAAATGTCTTACACCCAAAGTGATTCACATTCAGAATGCATGGATACATTTCATATAAAAATTTTCAACTCACATAATCTAAGACAAAATATGAATTTGCTTAAAAAAGTTTCTTACCTAATAATGATTCCTTAAATTTATCAGAGAAACCCAGATATTTACAAACTATAAATAAAATTTGTTTTTAATATTGTCACTTTCTTACACTAAATAACTTTTTTTCATACATTTTAATGTGCAAGATAAACAGGGCACCTATTAAAATTCTTGTCAAAGTGACATTGGGTTATTAAAAAGCAATGTTAGGTGGAAATAGATTATAACATGTTATTGAATACAAAAATAGGTAATATTCTTTAATTCTATTTTGTGGTTAGAGAAAAGGAAGAGCAACGAAGAATAAAATTAAGAGAATGTTATAGACCAGGGGTGTCAAACTCATTTTCATCAGGAGCCAGTCAGCCTCTCGGTTGCCTTTGAAGGGAAGAATGTAATTTTAGGACTGTATAAATGTAATAACTACTCCTTAACTAGGGACAAGGAGCTCTGCACTACTGCCAGGTAGAAACAAGGTGCCCAGACAGATAAAACAAGGTGGAGGGCCGGATTTGGCCCACAGGCCTTGTGTTTGCCACCTGTGTTATAGACAATGTTTGTAGGTTTCTGGCCTCCCAAAAGGCATATGTTGAAATCCTGCCTCTCAACATGATGGCATTAGGAGGCGAGGCCTTTGGGGAGTAGTTTGATGGTGGAGCACTCATGAATGGAATTAGTGCCTTACAAGGAGAGAGACAAGAGGTTGCTCTGGACCTCTGCTCTCCGCCATGTGGAGCTACAATGAGAAGATAGCCATCTATGAACAGGACAGCAGGATCTTACCAGACACTAGATCTGCCAGCACCTTGATCTTGGACCTTCAGCTTCCAGAGCTGTGAGAAATGAATATATGTTGTTTAAGCCTCTCAGTCTATGATAACAGCCTAAGCTAAGACAAAGAGAAGATCTAAAATAGTGAAGACACTATTAAGACCTTAAGCTCTGTGCATGCTGATTAAAGCTGAGCTGTTCAGATCACATTTAGTCATGGGATTCAGGAGAAGTGACTTCTTTTCAGATATCGATCAGTTGGTTAACTGCTATAACAACTCATTCCTTACACATGGAAAAGTTCTCAAAATGGGGCAAATGTAGCCATGAACTTAACCATGATGGACCATGTTCCCTATGTAAGTACATCACGGTCTCAGCGTGAGCCAGTACAGGGGTCTGAGCAGTAACATCTCTTTCAGGGCAACTTTTAGATCATGGGCTGGAAGTTCTTACTTTTCATTTTAATCAAGATTTATGGGGAAAAACGAATGCAGAAAATATCAAGCCCATCTCTGAGCTAATGATCTCTAGTTTGTGTGAGATTTTCATTTCATAAAATCCAAACATTATTCTTAATATTAAATAAAACTATTTCCATACTAAAATTCAATTGTATTTATGTACTCAGTGATCCTCACTCTTATAGTTTATCCTCATTATTTTCTGAGGGGAAGCGATATGATTTTACAATCTTTCTGAATCTTTGTGAACTTATATAGACATGTACCAAATAGTAATGATTTCCCTAACATAACTCCTCAGGTTAGTTGAACTCAATATTTAGCAATTGTTATTCCTCAGTAACTTGTTCCTGAATTGTTATATCAGTTACCACAGTAATACAGGATAACAAGTTACCTAAACCCCAGGAGCATTCAGGAAGCATTTATTTCTTCTTTACATGTCAGTTGGTATTAGTTGTTCAGATTACTGAGGCTACCCTCAATTGGGTATAGTTTTAATTTGCAGTTTTGTTCTAGGCTTGCTAAACCTTTCTTTCATCCTCCTTGGACAAGAAATATGTGAAGAACAAATATCTTGTTTCCCCAAATATCTCAGAGTTATTATTAATTTTTGGAATCAGGTTCAAAGTTCAGGATTTTATTATTTATATTAGTTCCGGATGCAGCTCCTCTTGATCTGGATACTTGTAAATTTAAAAGACGAAGTGTCTAATCCTCCCCCACAATATACACTCCCAACATATATGTAGAAAGAGGACAGAATGCTCATAGTGAACACTCCATTCAAAACAGGAGACAATAGGAGGCACAGAGCAGTCACTGGTCCATAGCAATTCTGATATCTCCCTGAAGAATGTTGCCAGGTTTCCCTGCCCTGGATTGGGTGCAAATTCTGCTCCCTGGGAGTGAGCCAGAAAGGAAAGGCTGTTGTATCAACTCTTGCCTCAGTGAATGTATTTGGAAAACATCAGGATTTTCGAGATAAGCAAAATAAAGATTTTTCCATTTAATTTTGACATTGTCTGTGCTTCTTTAATATGACATATCTTAGAACATAATTACACAAGTCTGCAGATTTTAAAAGTTCTTGGTAACATATACACATACTCTTTCATTTGGTTAAAATTATTTATTTCATTTTTGACTGTGTAGTATACTTTAACAGCCCAAATATCAAAAAGTATACAAAAATTTAAAGTGAACAATTGACATCCCAAAATGTTTTCACTTTTATTCTGTTTTTTTTTACACAGAATAATAATATAGTATAAGTATTAGGCAATGTTCTTTTTTTGCACTTAACATATATATTTTTCTGTGTCAGTACAAAAAAAGCTCCCTCATTATTTCTTAGAGATATATATTATCACATTTAATGGATATACCACAGTTTGTTTAACCACTCACCCATTAGAGTGTTTCACATGTTTTGTTATTACAGATAATGTTGCAGTGAATAATCTTATACTACTGTGTTTTCACACATTGGTGAGTATATATGCAGGAAAAAACAAACAAAAATGGAAATGTTGAGTCAAAGATTTATGAGTATATAATTTTGAAAGAAACTACCAAAATATCTTTGATGTACTGTTTAACAATATTAGTCCCACCAACAATATACAAAGGTCTTCTTTATCTACAGCTTTGTCAACCGAGTGTTAGCAACCTTTAGGAATTTGGCCAATTTTCTAAGTGCAATGTTAAGTTGCATTTTTTTTATTGTGAATGAAAAAGAGCTTCTTTTATGTATGTAAGAGCTATTTGTATTTATCGGGATACTTACACTTAGGTATTATTTCATGAAAAGTCCAAGTTTTGTGTGTGTGTCTCAGAGAGATGGAGAATATAAAATATATTACTTACAACTTGAGTGAAATAAAGTTTGAAAAATACAACCTTCTAAGGCAGACAGAATCTGTTAGTAAGAGAGGACTGAAGACCTTGATATTCCGAGTCCTTCAGATTCAAAATAGCCTCAGGCCCTGCAGCTTCGTTCACCTGGGGGGGTAGTTCAGGGGCTGCTTTCAATTCTTGGAGACTTGAGCAATAGAAACCAGATATTCTGGTGTGTGAAATTTTACTCTTTAAATAGTATAAGCATATCAAGATATTACATTACATTTTAGGTTGTCAACTATAGCTATTTAATATTTTTCAATATATCCAAGACTGTATGCAAATGACTGGTAAGATTTTCCATTCACGTATTTGTTGGAATATGTTATTTTTCTTGATTTTTAATTTGTTGTGTTGGATTTATTATATTACTTTCCATGGTGAATTATAACACTTTGGAGGGTAGCATAAAAAATATTTTAAAGAGGAATTTAAACCGAGATTTCCTTCACTAGGGAATGAATAAATAAGCTGAAGTACATCTAGATAATGGAATATTATTCTGCACTAAAAAGAAATGTACTATCAAGAAGACATGGAAGAAACTTAAATGCACATTACTAAGTGAAAGAAGCCTGACTCTGAAAAGGCTGCACACTGAATGACCCCAACTATGTAACATTTTAGAAAAGGCGAAACTGCCGAGACAGTAACAGGATATAAGACTGCAGGGATCAGGGGTGGGAAGGGTGAACAGGCAGAGCTCAGGGGATTTTTAGGGCAGTGAAACTACTTTGTGTGGTTCTATAATGATGGCGGCATGACATTGTATGTTTGTTCAGGCTCACACAGGTTGCCCATGGATGGGAGAACGGCCTACGTGAGATGTCTCTACCTACTGCTTAATTTTGCTGTGATCCCACAACTGCTCTAAAAAATGAAGTATATTTCAAACATTTTAAAAAATAAATTAGGGATTAATATAGGAATTATGAGAAGGGTATACTTGTGGGAAAATACAGAAATCAGTTTTCCATTGAATAATTCCATGCAATAACTGCCCAAAAAGACTGAAGGAGAGTTACATCTGAAGGGTCGAAGCCACCGTTTGTGGTACATTGTTCGGGACCAATGAATAAGATATAAGGAAAACAATTTATTTGACTACATCCTGTTCTCCCATCGAACTTTCCACTAACTTTTCATTTTGGTTTTTCTCTGCTTAGTCTCTATTGCTTCTGAACCTCTTTCACTTCATAACAGAAACTCTGAGATTTTGCTGCTTCACTAAATTTCATTTTAAAACCTATTCTTTCTTGGAAATGATAAATAACACTGCTTTTACAAATACGGCACTTGAAGAAAATCATAGTCCCCTAAATAATTTGTTTCTCTATCAGAGAAGGCAACAGAGCTACAGATGGTATGTTCAGTGAGCCGAGAACTTAGGGCTGAGAAGCTATTAATTCTCACAGCAGTTCTTCTACTATTTTATGGTCCCAGGACTTGATGCCATTCAGAGTCTGCTTCATACACTATAAATCTATAAAATGAGAAAATAAAATTTAACTCTTATTTTTAAGAATATTTACAGCATTGTAAGCTTAGGCTATTGTATTTGTTATCTACTGCAATGTAACATATTCCACAAACTTAGCAGCTCAAAACCAAATAAGTTAGTTGTCTCAGTTTTGGTGGGTCAGGTATCTAGGCACAGCTTATCTGGGTTCTTGGCTCAGGAAGTCACAAGATTGAAATCAATGTGTCAGCCACAAAAAAAAAACAAAAAACAAAAAACAAACAAACAAAAAAAAAAAACCAGAAGTATTTACCAGAGAAATAGTATTTCCAAATTTTTTATTACAGTAATCCCTTGGCCTTCTCAGTCAGTCAGTCAGAGTAGCATCTACAGAGAACTACTCTAGTCTTTCCAGTCCAATTACCTTCAGTGCAAAAATATTTGTTGAGTGCCCATTATCTGCCAGTTTAAGGCACTGGAAACACTAGATGAGTAAGAGGGCCTGACCGCAGGGGATGAATGATCTAGTGGTGAAGCAGATTGGAGAATGGTGTTAAGGGAGACCAAGCCTGAATCATTTTGAGAGGAGCAAAGAAATTCAGAATACCTGCCAGGATCAATTGCTCCTGAGAGAAACTTTCCTACTAACGAGTATGTAGAAATTCTCTGCAAATAATAGATTTGCAAAAGGGAGCTGTTATATTGGGACACTATGAAGCAGGCCGCTGTCGTCATCTGAGTTGACAAGGGCTGTTTCAAGACTGGATAGCTAAAATGAGATGCTCGATGACAGGCCAAGTTTAAGGAGCAGTTTTACGATTATGTCTGTAGTGAGAAGATAGAGCCATGTTCACCCAGCATATAAGGAAGATGAAATTCTGAGTAGAGAATCAGAGGGTAAATAAAGACTTCCCCCAAAATTGTTACACAAAGGGAAGGAATGATTCTAGGAAGTGGAATTGTCTGCTGAAAGCTTTAACAAGCCACTGGTACCATCTTATACTTGGAACTCTAGGTAGAACCCTGAGGATTTCAGCAGCTAAGGCCTATCATGACTTGAGTCCTCATCCAGTCCTTTCCCTCTTCCTCTACATATGACTTTATTGATGCTGCAACTGAGCATCTTTGGGGAAGGCGATCTAGGAATTGTTCCAGGATTTTTGATGATTTTGGAGGTCCTGTTCCAGGGCTTGCAGTATAATGAACTTTGCAACTGAAATAACACTAGGGGGCTCTCTCTACTGGTAGGGCTTAAAACCATGTCACCTCTGAGTTGGGAGAGTCTCTGGTGGAAGTTTTGGTGGAGTCCCTGATATATTTGACCCTTCTCTGAGAGTGGGAGGTAGGAGTCAGCATGTTCAAGAATGTTGAATTGGCAATTAGTTTAAACAGCAGGCTTGAGTTTCGATATAAGACCCAGTAAATGGTTAAGGTCTCAAGTGTCCCCTGAAATTATACAATGTTTCTTTTTCTGTGGCCTTTCTAATAATAATAAAGAACCAAGAAGTCTTTTTTTCTTATCGTTGTTCAAGTACAGTTGTCTCCAGTTTCTCCCCGCCCCAGGCATCCCCACCTCCCTCCCCTGATTCCACACCCCCACTTGGTTTTGTCCATGTGTCCTTTATAGCTGTTCCCGAAAGCCCTTCCCCCTTTTCCCCCATTGCCCCCTCCCACCTCCCCTCTGGGTACTGTCATTTGATTTGATTAAAAGGATGGTGCTCCTCAACTTTTTACCTCCTCAGGAGGTAACCTGTGAGAAAGAGTTCCACAGGGTGAATGACTGGGGAAGAAAGAATCCAAATGCCTCTTTACAGCACTGTTTCTCAGACTTGCATGATTATGTAAATCACCTAGAAATCTTATTAAAATGCAGAGTCTAATGTTGTAGGCTAGCAGGGTGTAGCTGGTGAGAATTTGCATTTCGAACAAGTTCCAAAATGATACTGAGTCTTCTGATTCACAGACCTCACTTTAAGTAGCAAAACTTTGAAGTATCAGGATAGGTTAAACATACCTCAGGAGATGTAATTATGGTCTTCATATGCTATAAAGCTGCAAAATAAGAGGAAATGGTTTATCCCATGCAACTGAAGTAGAAATTAAAGAACTCTTCAGGAAGACTTAGAGGACAAAACAAAACCCAAACATAAATATTTACTGAAGCAAATTGCTAAAGGACTTGTCAGGAGAGAACAGGAGATCTGGCAATTGCTGGAGAATAAGACAAACCTAACTCCATTGTCCCCTAACTCTGAAGGATATGATCTTCTATTTTAAGTTTTAGGAGCCATTTAATACCAACTGGTCAAAGAAGTCTGCCACCACACCTGCACATCCCACTCCACCCCTAACCCCCTTCATGCCAAGCCATGCATCCCATACCTGCCACGGGCTCTCAACTGCTTTCATACAACAGGGCTCCTGATTCGTAGATGAAGTTTAGACTTGGTTATCAAATATTCTAGAGTTATTTGGTAGTAGTGGTGGGGTGTTGGGATGGTGTATGAAATCTCTATGGGGTGGAGCAATGGAGGAAGAATGGTGAGAAGATAGCTTCAGTACCCTTTATCGTATGTAATAGGGCATTTGAATATTTAATTCAATGCAACTCAAAGATCACCAAAAAATTTGTACTTCTCTTGAAACAATGTAGTAAAACTTCTCTCACATAATAGATGCTGTTATATGCAGTCTCAGAAATATAATAGAAGTTTTAGAAAACTATTTCAAACTTACAAAAAGTTTGTAGGGGTTGCAAAAGTTCTACTTGATGTATTCAAATATACAAATGTGACTTCCCCTGCCCTGCTTTCTACTACTATTTATACCAACTGTCCTACAGGAGATCAGCTTTCTTCACAGTATCTGATATAAATAACCACAGTACTCTAAGCACGATCTGCTCAAGATTTACAGGTAGTTCATGGACTGGTATCTGGTTATTTATATTAATGATTTGGCAGTGCAGTGCTTTGTTACTAATACAAATTCTTTTATATAAAAATGCAATAATCTTACACCTGACTTCAATGGTTAAAAACGTGGCTATACTTAATGAGCAGGTATGTCAAGTTTGAACACTACAGGGACATAAACAAGAAGAAGTAGTGGACTTTTGAGGCCATGCCCTTCAGCTGAAATTTCTGTGAGAGACTTCAGAGACGTCCAGAGGCAGAAATGAACACAATGCACTCAGCAGAGTACAGCTATCTGATTTACCACAGGTCTGCCTTGACAACTCTCAGAGATGTGGGCGTCTGTTTATTTTTATTCCTTTTATACTGCAACCAAAAGAAATCTGAAATATTATTGCTTCTTCAAAAAAATCAGTCAACAAAAACTGTAATATAAAATTCTTTTTAAGGGTGAAACTAACCAATAACTTTTATCTTGAAATTGTCTATGTTAAAGGCTATTCTGTCTAGCTTCTGCACAAAATTCTCCAAGGAACTTTTTTCATTTTAACCATTTTAGATGTATCTTAGTCTAAAACACACTATTGACTTCAGGTAGTATAGCAGCAGTCATTAATACTTACAAGATTTGAATATCAAAGTATGGAATAGAAATAGAAGTGTAACTATATACATAAAAGCATTAATAAATAAGTAAGCTATAGTTTTTCTCTACTGGTAATGAGTTCAAATGTTAAGTCTAGTTAATGAAATCTTTCATAACATAAATAATTCATTTTATTAAGTATTTTTCATTTCCTCAAAATGTAATTTAATTATGTTAATAGAATTTTGATGGAATTTAATCTAACATTACCATGCAGTTTCATAATTTGAATTTTAAAATAAATTTCTAGTAAAAAAACATTTTATTTTCATTTTTCATTATGCAATAGATGAAAACAGATCATAATGACAATTTTACAAATTCAATTTACTAATATCCCTAGTAGTGACCATACAAATGTTATACTGCAATAAACATATACCATTTTAAAATCTATACCCCATGTTTGCTATTAGGATTATGCTTATATTCACTTTGTATCTCTTATAAGCAATTTATGAAGGAAAGAAAGCTGGACCTAGATTCAACTTTCTGGTTTGTATCCTTATAAGGTCTGTAACACTAAATCTTAGCTTTCTCACTGGTTAGTTGACAGTTCTAATGTTAGCAATGCCTACCTTATGGATAAGTATTGACTAGGTGAAAATAAAATATTGAATGCAGTATGAATTTTTGTTATTGTATCTCTTAGAATAAGCTAGGTTTTCCTGAAATGACAAAAGAAAATGAAAGACACAAATCTCAAAGGCTTGAAAAATGGAAGGTTATTTCACTCCCATGCATTACTTCTATGGGAGCTTGGCTCACTGTAATCCCCATGAGACCCTGTAAGCCCCGACCTGGTGCTCCTGCTAACTTGTGCTTCCACAAGTACCAGGTGAGGGGAGAGATGCTGGCAACTTATGCATTGGCAGTTAAAACATTCTCCCAGAAATGGCACACCAAGTCAGCTCACATGCTCACATTTCACTGGCCAAAGCAAGTCACATGGCTACACCAGGACTCTGGGAGAATAAGGAAGCTCAGGCCCACTGCACCCTTGGAAACAGTCATAATAATATCTGCAAGGAGCTCTAACAGTATCACAGGTATTAAAATGTGAAACTGTAATTTATTTATCCTAACAAAATTAGTGGAGAAATTATGCAGGGTGGGGCAAAAGTAGGTTTAAAGTTGTTAGTACAGCCCTGGCTGGTGTGGCTCAGTGGATTGAGCACTGGCCTGCAAACCAAAGGGTCACAGTTGGATTCCCAAATCAGGGCACATGCCTGGGTTGCCAGCCAGGTCCTCCGCAGGGGGCGCATGAGAGGCAACCACATATTGATGTTTCTCTCCCTGTCCTTCTCCCTCCCTTCACCTCTGTCTAAAAATAAATAAATAAAATCTTTTAAAATTTTTTAAAAGCTGTGAGTATGCGAAACAGAGTTTATTCTGGAATTATTGTTTATTAATTATATTATTTTACCTGTGAATGACTGCAAACCTATTTTTGCCCCACCCTGTATTTGCCTTACAATGGAAGTGTGCAGCCAAGATTTGAGAAAGGCAGATGTTATGATATGAAATAAATTAAAATCAGGATACCGCTTCAAGGCATATGCACTGTTATTAGGAACATTTTTATATATTGTATATATACAGTATATATATTTGTATGTATGCATATATTATATATACATACAAGTATATATATGAGAAAATAGTAGGAAAAGCAGAAGGACAAAAGGCTTGCCAAGGTATCTTACTGCTAGACTGGGGAAGGTTTTTTTGGAAACGTGAATTAAGAACTGAGTAGAGAAAAATGGGAGGGATGTGGATTTATGAAGAAGAAAGGATGAATTAAAATGCAGAAAAGAAAAGTTCCAACACAAATTTTGATTTCTGGGCTATTCTTAAAGAGTACATTTATGTCATTTTTGCTAAAATATCAGGACCTTTTAATCTAATGACTCAGCTTTTCTGCATCTCTGTTTCTTTTGCTCCTTGTCTTACTGCTTTATCATTTAAAAGTCGAGCAATGAAAGAAATTTTGGAAGCTATATTCATTTCTATGTGCTCAATTGCTCCTGAAAATGAAATGATCAATTAGGAAATCATTGGCTCCTTCATAACTCTTTTTTCAACTCTAATTATTTAATTGCTTAAATGTGCTCTCCAAACTTAGCAATTCATTACAGTATCTGATCAGTATAAGATTAAATGTTTATATTAAGTTAGTTTGTATGAATTTCACACTTTTTGCAATATCTAGGAGCCACCACAAGTCATTCAGCATTGTCTTTCAATAATGGCAATCAAAGGGAAGATCAAGTTGGGTACTTGCAACTCTTTATTCCTTGTTCCAAATTTTAGCTTATATTTACAGGAATGTTGCAGCCATGGTCTTTTTTTTTTCTTAATTTAATCTTTATTATATTTTTTCAATTACTATTTAGTCCTCATATACCACACTACCCCCAGCAATCACCACATGGTTGTCCATGTCCATGAGTCCTTGTTCGTTTTTGCTCAATCCCTCCACCCATAACCTCCCCACCTCCAGCCACTAGCCCTCATCTGCTCTTCATCTATGAGTCAGTCTCTGTTTTGCTGGTTAGTTCAGTTTTTTTCATTAAATTCCACAAATGAGTGAAATCATATGGTATTTGTCTTTCTCTGATTGACTTATTTCGCTAAGCATAGTATTCTCCAGGTCCACCCATACTGTCGCAGAGATAAAATTTTCTTCTTTTTTATGTCTAAGTAGAATTCCATTGTGTAAATGTCCCATAGTTGTTTTATCTACTCATCTATTGATGGGCACTAGGGTGGCTTCCATATCTTGGTGATTGTAAATAATGCTGCAATGAATATAGGGATGCTTCTGTTCTTTCAAATAAGTGTTTTGGGTTCCTTCAGATATATTCCCAGAAGTGGAATTAAAAGACAGATCCATTTTTAATTTTTTGAGGTATCTCCATACTGCTTTCCACAGTGGCCACACCAGTCTGCATTCTCACCAACAGGACAAAAGTGTTCCCCTTTCTCCACATCCTCACCAGCACTTGTTGTTTGTTGATTTATTGATGATAGTCATTTGACAGGTATGAGATGGTATCTTATTGTGGTTTTAATTTGCATAATGATGTTGAGCATCTTTTCATATGTCTATTGCCCATCTGTATGTCCTCTTTGGAGAAATGTCCACTCAGGTCCTAAGCCCATTTTTTAATTGGGTTGTTTATTTTTGGGGTATTAATAATTGTAAGTACTTAATAAATTTTGGATATTCACCCCTTATCAGAGGTATCAGTGAATATGTTCTCCCATTCTGTGTGTTGTCTTTTTACTTTGCTGAGGATTTCCTTTGCTGTGCAAAAGCTTTTTAGTTTGTTGCAGTCCCATTTGTTTTTCTTTTGTTTCCCTTGCCTGGGGAGACATATCTGTTAAAATATTTCTATGAGCATTGTCCAAGATTTTGCTGCCTATGTTTTCTTCTAGGATTTTTATGGTTTCGGGCCTACCATTTAAGTATCTGGTCCATTTTGAAT